TACTGTACAACAACAAAGTAAGTTTTGTGCTACTGGAAATTATGTAGTGCAATATTTGAGTGTAGTATTATGTGCATTGACTAATTAATTGAACCTGCTGACGGTAATATTGGTTCATAGGATAGACCACGAGGTGACTTCAATTAGCTTCATAAGTATCACTTATTCTACAATAAGTATGAGTTATTATATATATATATATATATATATATATATATATATATATATATATATAGGATGATTCGTATATGTTGTTGATTATCGATTATATTGTACCGAAATGCTGAGTCTCTGTTGACATGGACACTTAGACAGTGCACTTAAGGATTTTCGTGGAGTTATTTCGGTTGATGACGACTAGCAGTGGAGTCCGAGTTCGGGTATAATACCTGACTGGTTTCGTACACACACATGTTGGCATCAATTCCGACAAACGCAATCACATCTTTTTTTATCATTTTCTTCATAGCGACTGATTCAGTCTGCCACAAGAATAAATTGGGATCCTATTGTATCCGACTAACACGAGAATCGAGCTATTGATTTCAGAGTTAAACTTGAACATTGTTGAAGAGTATAGTTCCACTGAGTGAGTGTAGAGTGGTAATAATAAGGTGACATATATTCTAAGATGATTTGGCACCAGTTCATTACTTGTAATCATAAAGATTTCAGGGTTCAGTTTTTTCTATTGACAGCAGAGTATTGTATGTGTATATATTTGGTGTTGCTTCATTAGACAAATATTCACTAATTCATCTTATTTTCGATCAATATACCATATGGCAGTATGATTTTAAGTCGATGCTTTTATTCAGATATTTTATCTTTTCCTGGATCACCTCGTCTACTCGATAGAATCTTACAGTTTTACACTTATGTGACTGATTTCACTCAGCTACCTTCATCAATGAATGTACTTGACTTCACGATTATTTGATAAATTAAATGTTCTCATCTCCTTAGAGCTATGGAATCGTCGCGTCTGCATGTTTATTTCTTTTGGGTGTTTTGAGTCTCGAATGTTGCTTCCTTAATCTGCTATGTAGACAGTCATCGGGTTAAACAAATAAGCGTGTATGTAAACGGTATCTTCCAAAGCTAAATTTGATCAAGGAAGCAAAGTGACACTAATGACTGGGAACCATTGACGCTAACCAATAAAATTCGTCAGTCATGCAAAGACAACTCCCAGTAGTTGCTAGTAGTGATCCATATTAAGATCCTGTCTATGTTCATTTTCAAAATAATGTACTGAAATTCATTTAATCTGAAGTGATTGTGAACTACTTGTGCTAAGTCCATTCGATTGGATCTTCATTAGGCTCAATAAGAACAGAACGAGGGGAAGGGTTATCCCAGTAGTGTTAAAACTACTACTTCTACTACCACTGCTAATCTGAAATGGCGATTACCAACCATTCATTATCAACTATGAAGATGTATCTCAGCGCACTAGTTTACGTAGTCAACTTTCGGCGGAAGGGTCCCGGATTCGAATCCTGGGTCTAGGTAGTGTGATGATAGTTCACACAATATGAGCATCGTTCATAGGCCTCATACACGAAAAATCAGACTTAAACAGCTGTGTTCTAACAAGTTTATATCTAAAGAATTGTTAATGAACAACGAATATTCTTTTAGATAACTTCATCATCAGGTAGGTTCTACAGCTATATGGACATAATAGTGAATGAATTAGTGTTATAAACAACACCAGTGTTGTTTAAATAACATCGAAGCAATAATAATATCAATGGATTAGAGTTCGTTAGCACCAACATAAGAATACACAGAATAATCATCTTTCAGTCGAGGAATCACCATCGATCGTGTACGGAATAATACGTGTAGTTCGCCAGCATTAAAAGTTCTTTGAACTGATTTTCTCAAATTCTTCGTAATTATTATTATTGATTCGACGTTATTTAAACAACATTAATGTTGTTAATAACGCTAATTCATTCACTATTATGTATATATAACAGTAGAACGTGACGATAAAACTACCGAAAAGAATAATCGTTGTTAAGTCTTACCATCACATGACTGTATAGCTTAGCGAAGGTTAACGTGTACTAAAAACCAGTAAAATTCAGTTCACGGAAACCATACGAAAAACGCGTTAAGAATAAGGTTCAACCATGTTGCTAAGACAAGTGTACTAATTCTCTGCATGAAGTGTGGCTTCAATATTTAAAAACATTAGGTAACATGGTATGCATCTATTACAGAAGTGATCTAAGCATGAGGATACTCAATGGTTTCTTAATGTGCGACAAAGTTAGTTATGAAGTGTCATCTGAAAGTTGATTACCAGCCAGCATCGTACTTCTTTACTAAAGTGTGCGTTTTGCTTAATAAACAGGGCTTTAATTGAGAATGCGTCAGCACAAAGAGATCTCTTCGTAAGTTCACTTTTAAGCCGTACATTTATTCAGAGGCCTAATATGTAGTGTTAATTGACTAAATAGGTCGGAAATTAATGTCACTCAATTTTGTCTGCCTGAATTATTATTCTTCCCTTGGTTCCAAGTGGAACATAAGGCTTTAACCAAACATCTTTACTTTGTTCTATTTTTCGCTGTCATCGTCATCTGGGCCCATGATTGCTTATCACCCCTCATGACCTCCTCCATGTCGCCCTCTCACTGACGACCCACTCGCCATTTCTCATCTGGATTACGCTCGAGCGATGGCTTGGCGCGCGATTTCATTCGACGGTCTCAGTATGTGCCCTATCCATCTCCATTTGTTGAGCAATCGACTCTTGGTTGAGTGTTTTCGCAGCCAGAGTTTCTTGTTGCTAATTCTTCCTGATTGATGTTCAGTTTGGAGTCAGTGATGACGGCGGCTGTTGTCGCCTGTTGGAAATGTTCTTCGTGATGCATTCACCTAGTTTCTGACATATATGGAAGATTTCAATATAGAAAAAAAAATTCCCATTTAGACATTTAGAAAACAGAAAGATTGAACGAAGAAATATTTACTTTTCAACTAGATCCTCATCTCTGGCTCTACTCAGTCAATGAAATCCACAACAGTTGGTCTAAGCCACGTAGAAAGGTGTAGACTTCCAGGCTGGGGTCCTCGGGACGGTAAAAATCTATGGTTGGAAACAATTGGTGACATGGCTCAAAACCGTTCTCAGTGGCGCAGATGCATCCACTCCCTGTGACTTATGATCTCCAATGAAACTGTTTTGTATTTCTTTATTACTCCTTTGTCTCAAACCTCTGCTCACTGTTTCTATTATGCTTTTCTTGTACTTTCTTCTCTTGCTTCGCGTGCTACACGGAATGTGGCGACTTGAACTGGCGCACATTTGTGCAAAGTTCTATGTCGAAAACAGACAGACTACTCTAATATATATAGCATTTTTAATACAATACACAACAATTTACCAATCAAGTGGCACTGATATGTTTGTTAATAATAATTAGTCAGTGTCAGTCAACATGTCAATGGGGTGATAATTAACGAAGAAAATTAATACACACAATTAAAAGATAGAAACGATTACAACACGTGTAATGCATAATTTTGGAAAAATGAAGAGTAACTAAGGTATTTAGCGTGTGCACAGGTTGATTACGCAACAGATTGTGAAAGAAAATAAAACGATTTGGACAATGATAACTTGTAGCTAAGGATGAAGTGGTCATAAAAACTTTTTCTGAACACACAAGACTACTTCGCCCCTCCCCTAAACCTTTAAAAATTATTTCATTCATATGACCACTCATCCTAAGTTACAAGTTATCATTGTCCAAATCGTTTTATTTTCTTTCACAATCTGTTGCGTAATCAACCTGTGCACACGCTAAATACCTTAGTTACTCTTCATTTTTCCAAAATTATGCATTACACGTGTTGTAATCGTTTCTATCTTTTAATTGTGTGTATTAATTTTCTTCGTTAATTATCACCCCATTGACATGTTGACTGACACTGACTAATTATTATTAACAAACATATCAGTGCCACTTGATTGGTAAATTGTTGTGTATTGTATTAAAAATGCTATATATATTAGAGTAGAGCCAGAGATGAGGATCTAGTTGAAAAGTAAATATTTCTTCACTCAGTCTTTCTGTTTTCTACATATGGAAGAACTGGCTTCACATTTGTACTGAAAATCCGAACCTTATTGTTTACACTGACGGCAGATTTTCAGACAGATTTCAGTTTGATGGAGTTGTATGTTGCCTTTACGAATCTTCATCTGTTGCCCCTGTGGTTGAAACACTGCTTCCTGGATAAGTGAGAGAAGGTAACCTCTTACAAGTTTCGCCCGGTGATGATAAGGATTTGTGTCGTTTGTTGATCATCACGTCTATCTTCCCATCGTCTTCGATGCCAACCTCTTTAGGTAGTTTGTTGGTTTCCGCCTAGAAGTCTCTGTGACATCCGCGAAATCCAGATCTTCTATAGTCTTCTTATCGGTCAGTGCAGCATATTCCTGTCTTCTCACTCCCAACACACAGTCTGGTGTAGAATGCAGTCCACCACAATTAGGAATATCATCGGTGATAATAGGCAGACAGCCTTGTTTTACTGCTGTTGTATTCACTTCAAATCCTTCTCTGAGTCTCCCTGAATAGCTGCATAATAAACTTGATGTAGTCTTTTTTATTATTTGTTATACATTTAGGAAATTTTTTTATATTGCTTCACTCCTTTGTTTCACATAGATTATTAACCAGTCAACTAATTAGTTGGTTACTGAAGAGTATTCTCAATTTTCCAAACATATTGATTATTCATACACTTTGATTTATTTTGTTACTAACTGACAATAACCTCTGACATCTAGGATAACGAGTACATTGGCCTGGAATCAGCGCACGGTTAGCGAGTATTGACCTACCACTGAAAACCACCGGCTTACAGACTAGCCGTCAGTTACACATCTGTTTCATTTGCCTATTAATCAATCACCTCTTTCTTTTCTCTTTTATCTCTCTTTCGTCAATAATCCATAGAAAAAGAAAGAAAATACGTAATAATAACTATACGAAATGGAAAGCGCATCATCATTTAAACTGCCTTGGAAAGCGAAAGAGTCGATAGCTTTTTGGCATGGAGTAGTAATGCACAATCCCAATGGGAAAAAATTGGTCACAGATATGGTGGCGTCAATCATTTCGATTAAGTTAACGAAGTCAAGTGGATTTAAAATATCGTTCGTGTGTTGTTATAAGTACTAATGAAACAATTAAGAATACAGCACGTCGAGCATATTCTCAGTGGAGAGCACACAATTTACGAGCAATACGACACATTATATACGTGACACTTTATCCCCTTCCCTTCCTTCTGCCTTGATCCTCCGCCCTCCTCCTCCCCGAGATATGTATATTTATATTTGCTAAATAAAAGTTATAATATAAAAACAAAATTCATTCACTAATTCGGAAATAAAAATAAGACGAAGGCCGTAGTGGTGGTGGTAGCAGGAAGGTTGACATTTAATTCGTTGAATTAATTCGACAGCAGCTGACCAGCGTTAGATCGCATCATTTGGATTACACTGGCAGGATTTTCGCTGCTTGTTATTTCAGTTCCAGAGACAATCATATTTGCTCCAGCCTGTTGGGGGGGGGGGAGAGTAAAACAAATTAAGAAAGAGATTAAAAGTAGATTTTAATCGGTTCTGTTGATAGTCGTAGATAAATAAATTACATATGTCAATAGTTTACACAGAATGATAAATTTTTAGTAATATATTTCGAGCAAATTTACTGCCTGTGATCACAGCAAATGTTAGAATTTTGTTGTTTCTTTAATTCACTCTTTTATGATTTGTACTCACACTCAGTCTTTTTGTCCATTCATTTTTGTGTATCCAGAATTATATTTCAGGTTGTTGAAAGTTGAGCTACTGAGTCACCCTTGTTACATGTATCCGATGTGACCGTAATGAATATAGATTCTGTTATAAGTTTCTCTTCCCATTTGTTCATATTAGTTTTCAGAATACAAACATTGTTCAAATTAATATTGTGGTTTTCGTCTTATGCATTTGTAGGTATAGTGGGATATTTTTTCTGAATTCTTGTAGGCTTGTATTCCTGTGGGATAACCTTTGGTCGGTTAGGCATATATGTCCATTCACTCTCATTTTCAGTGACCTACACGTTTGACCCACATATTTAGTTCGACATTCGGAAAAACATACTTTTGATTGGTTGGAGGATTTCACCATGAGCTGACATCAGTTAGAGAACCAGTAGAAAACCTGGGAGTAGTGGGCAGCTATTTCGTCCTGATTTGGCACTCTTCATCAATACGCTCATAATGAAATCCTCCAACCAATCAAACTAAATCCCTACAAAATCAATACTTGAAAACAAGATATTTTGGAATTATATTATTTTTATCAATCAATTTCACTGCATCATTTAGTTGGTTTATTTTCAATTAAATTAAATGGTTTAAATGTGGTGCGAATCCCAATAGATTTAAAGTTTCTTCGAATCTCCTCTGATGTACCACTTTTGTATAGTACTGTGACTGTTTTTTTGCATTCTTCCATCTTGTCATTCGCCGGTTCTACCCTCTTTTTCATATCCTTGATAAATTCTTTTGGGTAATTGGTATCGAGTAACATTTTGAATAAGACGTTTATTTCTTTCCGTTGGTCATCTAGTGTTTTTGTAAGTCGACGTACTCTGTATGCAAGACCTTGTATTAACATTGGTGTTTTTCTGAAATTTACAATCGGCATTAGAGTAGTAGTGCAATAAAATAACTCCCTGGTTTTCAATGGTTCTCTAACTGATATCAATCCGTGATCAACTCGTTAAAACAAAACTATTCCTTACTACCTAACTGGTGACCAGTCAAAGCATCGATTACAGTCCTACAAGAGATCAGTCGCGAGCCTGAGTAGCTCAGTGGTAACATCTCTGACTGCAGGACTTGCTGACGCGAGTTCGGAACCCAGAAAAGATGTTAGTTGTTTCAAGATTACAGGTTCCCCCTGCTGACCAGTGCCGATAAGCAGGAACGCTACATCAGCTTAAAGGAGGGTTTTGTGGCCCATGCCTCTAATCATCTAACATGATTACAGTCGATGATAAGAAATGTAGCATATTAGCTCGAGCATTCTACTTTCAGCTAGTTGGTTCTGTGTTAAGATTTCACTCCATTTACTGCATTCTTCACACAGTAACTGAAGGTTTCATAACCTGTTATCTGAAAGATATGTTCGCTCTGAATGAGTGTTGCTCCCAAAAGACCAGTATATCGAACCACGAAAATAATAGTTACCTTTCGTGAACATAGTGAATCCACAAGAACTCAATATTTATACCACTCAATAAAAAACTATTACAGGTCTGTACATTTCCATCATAGTTGGTTTATGTTCACAATATATGACTGCATAGCGTTCACAGAGTCCACTCACCCAAGTAATCAAGCTTCAATATTAGAATGGTAACAGAATGTTAATTCATACCGCTGGACATTTAAATGATCTCGAATTCGGCATTTTTAGTAGTCAGCATCACTGTCCTACTTCCCCATAAAATGAACCAGTATGATTGGGGGCAGACAAATCCTCCTCTTTTCAAATTGTTCGTTATTTGGTCATTTTCACTGCATACCCACCTATTTGGTACTAGAAAACTTGAAAGGGTTGATTTGGTACGAAGGTTTAGTGCTCTTCATCACACAACGTTCAACTAAAAAAGTTGGGAAAACCTATCTGCAAACTACGGACACAATGGTGTATGAACTTGCTTTATTTTCTCGCCAACTGTCACAGAAATGCAACACTAGACTTTACTGTACTCCTACGTAGTGGATCATACTTCTAGTTAAATTGATCTCTTAAAACCAAACTAAAACCTTCAACTTAGAAATCTGTGCAAAAGTGCAGCAGTTCAAATCGTCAGATTTCATAGAAGCACATATAAGAGTTTGAAACAAAATAATAAATAAGGAGAAGAATAAATTCATGGGGAATGATAAAGATTTTTAATAGATCTGGGAGATTACAAAAAAGTGAATGCATCATCTGTGTTATCGTCAATGAATTAGGCCACGTCACCAACACTTCCTAGGCATTGGGTCTTAACGTCTCCGTGACTGCAAATAATATAAATTGGTCCCATATTTTGATTTAACTACCTGGTGGTGTAGATATACTACCTGGAAATAGACTTTTCGGCCTCGAGTATGCAGACGATATCGTCTTACTATGCTGTAGCATGCAGGCTGCCTAAATCGCACTTAATCAGTTGGCGATGAGTGTCCGTAAGTATGGTATGTGCTTTGCACCGTGAAAGTGCAAATTACTGTTACATGGTTGGCAGGAGCCTGTACCTGCATTGACTCTTGCAGGTGGGTTTGTGTATCTGGGTAGTTGTGTGAGTGCTGGCGGAGGGGTGACGGATGAGTTTTCCGACTGTTTCATGAAGGTTAGGGTGGCATACATCAAATTGAGCCACCTCTGGCGCCGTCGTGACGTTAGCTTGGCTTTCAAAGGTCGGGGTATTCAATGCTTCGATGCAGGCTGTTTCGCTCTACGCCTGTGAAACCTGGCCGCCCCAAGCTGAGGATGTACAACACCTCTGTATATTCGATTATCGCTGTCTCCGCAGGATTGCTTGCGTATCATTGGTATCATCGCGTGAGTAATTCTAAGGTTTGGCGACATGTGTTTGAAAACAGTGGAGATCACCATTCATTGAGTGTCGTCATCTGGAAACACCGGCTCCGGTGGCTTGGACGTGTGCTGCGAATGTCATCCCAGAGGCTTCCGTACAGGTCTCTGTTCGCTAGCCCTGAGGCGACATGTAAAAGGCGGAGGGGTGGTCAGTCCATGACGTGGCGTCGTGGGATGAAGGATGTTTGTGCTAGATTAGCATCGGTTGGTGTGTCACGATTCCCTGATTGGGGTCCGCGGGATAGCTCGAATCGATGGCTCGAAACATTATCGAATATGGCCAAGAATCGTAATCAATGGCGGACGTGCTGCAATTTCCTTTCTTCCCTTCCGGATGATAGTTAACGAATACTGTTTAAACTTGTTAAGTATGACTGTTTTCATTCCAGATGAATTCTTTATCCGCTCTCTACTCATATTTTTTACTTTTAATCTATGTTGTTTTATTATTATTATTGTATGGCGCATGTTTCTTGATGCCATATTGTACCAAGTTTTCTCTGCGTTGAAATAAATAAATAAAACTACCTGTAACCTCTTTTCCAAACCACTTGTTTATGAGCAAACACTAGTTGACGAGGAAAGCTATCCGCGACATGTGTAACACTTTCCTAGACATCTCAACTGATGAAGCTTCGCTACGTCATCAATCGACTTTACTCTGCTTCCATAACACTAAGTCTGAACTCAATATTGGTCACCATATTATACTAATTAATACGGGAGATAGAACCGAAGCACTTATCATGAAAAGGTAGGTAACCTCTTCACTTCAAACGGTTGTTTCTTAGCTATGCAGAAGGACAGCACCAACTGCTGTCCGGTACACACGCCCTTTGATCGGTAGCTGGATATCACCTTCACGCTGGAGGTGGTGAAGTATGTCTAAAAGTGCCACTCTCAAGCCTCTTGGTATCTGAGCTTAGATTTCGTCAGTAATCTGTCCTATGAGAGCTGATGAGACTTCTCAACTAAGGGAAATAGTCGACCCGCTTAGTCACTTCACTTTCTATCTTTTAATTGGGAGTCGATTAAGACAAGTTTTCAAGCATTATCTTACACTTGATAGAGAATGAATCGCATGCCAAATATTTGGAGATTTTCACTCACTCAGACTGTTCGAAAGACTGTAGTCAGCATCTTTCTCTAGGAGGACTACACATCAGCTATAGTCATACTCTCTCTCTCTCTCTCTCTACATAGACAAAACTGTTCTTTAAGAGACATTAGAGGAAAGAATGAATACAATCCAAGTTGAAGTGTTCAAATAAGTAAACAAACTAAAACTTACTTGAAAACAGTCTCGAATATTTTTTAAATTAACTCCACCATCAACTTCAATATCTAAATTTGCATATCTTTCACGAAGATACATAACCTTAAAGAAAGAATTTCAAAAAACAAAGAGAAGGATAGAGTTTATAGATGTAAAACAATCTATGTATGTAGAATCTTTCATACTGATCTATTAACTCGACATTTTATACCTTGAAAAAGTTCCGATGCACACAAGTAATCGTTATAGTATAAGGGATGTTACCAGAAAAGACGAATATGTATGAGATTAGTGAGAATACAGGTTGAATGACGAGTTGAGACATCAGTTAGAGAACTACTGGAAGCGTGGAGAGTACCGGAGAGCCGTTTGGTTCTAGTTTGGGACTCTTCAGAGGTACGCATTCATCGAGGTCCCAACCCCAGGATCTTTCAGGTACATTGTGAGCTCGCAGAAAATTCAGTCAATGGGACCCAATCCAACAGCCCATGATATTCCAGCTTGTTCTTATTCGCTATATATATATATATAAACCACCCCACCGAAAAGAAACACACAAGGTGATTAATGCCGGACGAGGTCTATGCATCTATGTTGACATTATGTCGGCAATCAATGGTATTTAGCAGTTATTCATTATTCGTAATAACTGCAGTGAAACGATGACCTGGTGAGTAGTCGGATCTTGTAGTTCATTTTGGCAGAGTACCGAACTACTACTTCAGAGGCTGCTGGTTCGAATCTTGCCACCACCTATGAACTGATTTTAATAAGCGCTGAATATGTTCTTGCCTATAAAGTCATTGAAAGTTTTGTAATTCTACTAGTATCGAATCTTGAAGTCGTTGCTCCGTTGATTTGAGCCACTTGGGGGTGTCCCGGAGATGCTAAGCACCAGTGACTTGAGACTACTGGAGATACGGTTGGAAACCGTTCTCAATGACTCAAAGGCGCTCACTTTTTTGTGATCTTTCAGATTCATTAAATCCTCATATTCTTTCATGCAATTACTCTTTTTCTCGTACATTTTTCTCTACCTTTGTATCCTCCTAAATAGACTATGTGGTGTAGTAACTTAAACTGATGCACTTCTGTGCAGTGTTCTACGTTGAAACTTTGTTTATCAGCCAACCAGTCAGTTACATTGTTCAACTCAGATAAAACAGCGAAATCAAAACAAAAATATAAATTAAACTACTAGAATAGAAAAAACAACTATTTACCTTTGGTAGCATATCTGTCATAAATTTTTGTCCACCGAAACCTGGTTCAACAGTCATCACTAAAATCATATCGACTAGGTCAACATAAGGTAATACTTCAGTTACTGGTGTCTTCGGCTTAATGCCAAGACCAACCTAGTAAAGAAAAAAATTAATAGGAGAATGAAATAGAATGTTAGAAGAGAAATAAACACATACTTAAACATTCGTATTTTCGGTAGTGAAACACTACCTAAGATGGTCTTAGGGTTCGGCAGGCTGTTGTGTTTGCATAGTGTAGGGGTAATAATTGAATGTAGTGAAATGAAAATCTGGTCTTGGTAACTAACACTGGAATCCAGGATGTTCATATCATCCTATTTGGGACTCGTCAGCAATTCACAGAGAGTCGTGGTGTCAGTTAGCAGCTTCAAATCTTAAATGGGTGCATCCTGGATCTTCTCCATAGCTAGTCATCATCCATCAAATTACTTAATGTTAATTCTTGAGAGGCCATCGAAGCACCCGTATACTGGGAGCCGACATGTTTTTGTTACCAGAAAACAAACATTTCGGGATCCAATCAAATTAACGGGGAAAAACGACGTTGACTTGAATAAATATTCCTTTTTATTTAGTTCTTTCGTCAACAGTTTATTTCACTAAAACACACCTTTTTATTATAATAAAAAATCAGAATTGTACTAATCAAGTGGGCAACACTAGGCAACTCTTTAGACTCATCAGGGAAACGGGTGGGAGAAGGCAAATCATAAGTGAGACTATTTCTGAGAAAAATGGCTCCTTAATTAGCTCTCAGGATAGACGCCTTGAACGCTGGAAAGAACACTTTGAGGGACAATTTAACTTGCCTACAGCCACACTGAACCTCCCCAACATCCAGCACACACCCGAATGGGATATAGACACTGGTCCGCCGTCTGTAAGTGAGGTCACAAAAGCTATCAGTAATTTGAAACGAGGCAAAGCGGCAGGACCCGACGGAATTATTCCGGAGGTGTTTAAATATGGGGGGGACATACTAGTTTGTAGATTAACTGAGGTACTAGGCAAAGTCTGGGAATCAGAGACAGTGCCATCAGACTGGGGTAAGTCACTTATTATACCGATATTCAAGAAGGGAAACAAGTCCTCGTGTGATAATCATAGAGGGATCAGCCTAACGAACATAGTCTCTAAAATCCTAGGCTCAGTAATCATGCATAGACTAAGCAGAACTCGGGAGGAACAGACAAGGGAAAATCAAGCAGGCTTTAGACCAGGTAGAGGGTGCATAGATCATATCTTCACTCTTCGACAGATTCTAGAACATAGACACACTTTTCGGCGTCCAACAATTGTCATATTTCTTGACTTGAAGGCGGCCTTCGACTCCGTGGATCGAAAGGTACTATGGCAATGTCTGACTGTGAAGGGAGTGCCAAGAAAGTACATTGCACTAATCAAGGCACTCTATTCAAACTCACGTAGTCGTGTAAGGGCTTATGGGGAATTGTCATCTGAATTGGTAACAACCAGTGGTGTCCGACAGGGATGTCCACTTTCCCCATTTCTGTTTAACTTCATCATAGACATGCTGGTGGAAGTATCCTTAACTGAACGTAACGACTTAGGAATCGACTTGTTACCAGGGAATAGTCTTATGGACTTAGAATATGCAGATGACATAGTCCTGTTAGGGGAGGATGGTGACAAAATGCAGAGTCTTCTGAACACCTTGAGCAGCAATCTTCGTATGTTTGGCATGCGATTCGCCCCTACAAAATGTAAGATGCTGCTACAGGACTGAACCACGTCAACTCCTAACTTAGTGATAGGGAGTGAAGTGATAGAACATGTTGACCACTTCACCTATTTGGGAAGTTGTATTAGCAACAACGGACTGATTGGCGATGAAATCTCAGCACGGATCCGAAAAGCTCGAGCTGCTTTCGCTGACTTACACCATCTCTGGCGTAGGCGTGACATCCGGTTATCAACCAAGGGACGTGTGTACTGCTCATCAGTTCGCTCCGTCCTTCTCTATGGCTCTGAAACATGGCCAATACGCGTTGAAGACATGAAAAGGTTGACTGCTTTCGATCATAGATGTCTGCGATCTCTGTCTCACGTTAGGTGGTTTCACAAGGTAAGTAATGTTGATGTTAGGCGTAGAGTGTTGGGCAAAGAGGGAAAATCAATCGACGAGGCTATAAAGTTACATAGACTAAGATGGCTAGGTCACGTGCTGCGCATGCCTAACCACCGCCTCCCCCGACGGGCATTACTAGCTGATATAGGTTCAGGTTGGAAAAGAGTAAGTGGTGGCCAAACAAAAACATGGCATCAGTCCATGAAATTCTTGACATTTAAACAGAGTCAGGTAGGGAGATGCAGACTTCTGGGTAAGGGCCCTCGGGACTCCGAAAATCAATGGCTGGAGACAATAGGTGACATGGCTCAAAATCGTTGTCAATGGCGCAGATGTATTCAGTCTCTGTAATCTTTCATATTCCTTTCTACCATTACCTACTCTGTTTCACTCTAATACTTGTCAGACTGTATTGATTCTCTTTACTCATCTTCTTGTCTACCTCTGTGTGCTATTTGGAAGGTGGCAACTCGAACTGCTGCACTTCGGTGCCAAGTTCTATGTTGAATCCAGACAGACAGACAGAATCAAGTGGGGATGTATTATTCAGAAAGGAATATCAATTTTGAGATATATGAGAGGTGAAAATATTTACAGTTAAGGCAAGTTTACAGTTGAATTTTCCAAACACCACTCATTATTGGTTAGGTAAAGAACTGAATACCGCTCCACGCATCTATAAATTGGCTCATTTCGTCAATGCAACAAATCAAGTAGAGACTGGCAGAGCTTTTAAATTTAATTATCACATTTCATTTAACCTTTCTAACGGTCCATTAGCCCAACTGTTACGAACAACAGATACAATCGGAATTCATTTGATTCAGCCAAAATCTGCGTTCCAAAGGAATGTGTACAGCTCTCTTTCTCGTCATGGCAGTCCATATAACAAGCAAGAAGTCTTTCAGATGATCGTCTCCTCTATCCTCGTAGCTATCGACTGACGCTGTTATATTATTGTTACTTTGATACTATTACTATATTAGCTAATTTAATTGACCTTTTCTTATCTTTTTTTCTTACGTAATCGCCAACAAATTTACCTTTCACGCATTCTCCTTAATTATCACCATCTTACGAACTGTCGATAAGGTAATAGTCTGCGGTTAACTTCTGCAAATCAACTGGCTCTAGACACCGAAGTCGGTGTTTCCAGATGAAGACACTCAATGAATGGTGATCTCCACTGTGTCTAAACACACGGCTACCGAACCTCAGAATAACTCACACGATGATGCCATCGAATGCAAGTCATAAGATAGTGATGATCGAATACGTGGAGTCGCCGCACATTCTCAAATCGTGGAGGCTAGGTTTCACAGGCGTAGAGCAAGACTGCCGGCACCGAGGCATTGAATACCCGACCTTTGAAAGCCAGGCTAACGTCCCGACGGCGCCAGAGGTGGCTCAATTTGATGTATGCCACCCTAACCTTCATGAAACAGTCGGAAAACTCATCCGTCACCCCTCCGCCAGCACTCACACAACTACCCAGATACACAAACTCATGGGCATTTTCAAGCGGTTCACCTGCAAGAGTCAGTGTAGGTACATGCTCCTGCCAACCATGTAACAGTAATTTGCACTTTCACGGTACAAAGCACATACCATACTTACGGACACTTATCGCCAACTGATTAAGTGCGACTTAGGCAGCGTGCATGCTACAGCACAGTAAGACGATATCGTCTGCATACTTGAGGTCGAAAGGTCTATCTCAAGAGAACAGGTCTACACCACCACGCACATCCTACAGAGGTGACTCCATGATATCATCGATGGCAAAGTTAAAGAGAAATGGAGAGACTGGGCAACCCTGTCTAACCCACCTGTTGGCTGGGGTCTCTTTATAGGGCTTTCAAGATGTTAATAAACTTCTCAGGTACACCCCTCTCCAACAGACAGTTCCACAGCACACTTCTGTCCAATGAATCGAAGGCAGTAGTATATAAAGAGACGATCATCGGCATAAAAACATCGAAGAGCAGAGAGATAATTCTGAAGTCAAAGACAGGATATGGACCAGAGTTGCGGCAAAAATTGGGAGACACGAAATGAAGATAAAGAAATGCAATACGAAGGGCAAAAGTGACACAACTTTGCACAAATGTGCGGAAGTTCAAGTCGCCACACTCCGTGTAGCACGCGAAGCAACAGAAGAAAGTACAAGAAAAGCATAATAGAAACAGTGAGCAGAGGTGTGAGACAAAGGAATAGTAATAACGAAGAACAAAACAGTTTCATTGGAGATCATAAGTCACAAGGAGTGGATGCATCTGTGCCACTGAGAACGATTTTGAGCCATGTCACCAATTGTTTCCAACCATAGATTTTTACCGTCCCGATGACCCCAGCCTGGAAGTCTACACCTTCCTACGTGGCTTAGACCAACTGTTGTGGATTTCATTGACTGGTGCCAAGTTTTTGTTTGACCGCCGCTAGCTTTTTTCCAGCCTGACCCTATATCCGCTAACGCCTCCAAAGCCTCAGGATGGTCGGGGGTGGGTGCCTTGCGCTGCGGGTTGGCCACCCCTCCGCATACCTCTTGAAATGCTCCCATATGACCGGGCGTCTTACATGGCCTCTCCTGAGGAAGTCCTACTCACTGCCTTCACGTGGCGGAGGTGTTTCTCACTAAAGTGAGAGGGCGAAAGCGGATGCCCGGCGCTCCCCACCAGGTTGACTGTCCATTGGATGACAGTCTAGGGGAGATGGCTAAACCCTGATTCCAAACCTCCAACGACTGGCGTATGAAGCTCACTGGAGCTCACCGGCAGACGTATGGACAAAGGGCTTGTTGGATGTCTGGCCCCATTCAAAAAGGCGTATGAAACGAACTCCGGTCACCGACTGCCAATGCATAGTGGACTCCCTACTCCACTCCTGCCTTGTAGGTCACACTTGGCTGTGTAAAGGCTAGAGCTGCACTCTCAAACAAAAGGCCGAGCGATGCTGGGGACATCACTCGAACCAAATTCCCATGAAACTTCATGAACTCTCTGACGTTCATGAAGCCGGCTCATCCTCCCGTAGGAGATAGCCGAAGTAAAGTAAGTAAGTATATCCGCTAACATTGCTCGTCGAGGGAGGCGATGGCTTGGCATACGTAACACATGTCCTAACCATCTCAGTCTTTGTAACTTCACGAATTCGTCGATTGATTTCCCCTGTTTACCTAGCACTCGGCGCCTAACTTCAATGTCGCTCACCTTATTATGCCACTTTACACGGGAAATAGAGCGCAGGCACCTATGATCAAAGACAGCTAGTCTTTTCATGTCTTCCACTCTCAGTGGCCAGGTCTCACAACCATAAAGGAGGACGGAGCGGACTGATGAGCAGTACACCCGCCCTTTGGTCGATAGTCGAACATCTCGTCTACGCCAGAGTCGGCGTAAACTGACAAATGCGAAACGAGCCCCCTGTATTCGTGCTGAGATTTCGTCAGAGATCAACCCATTGGCTATTGGCTGATGGTACTTCCCAAATAAGTGAAGCGGTCAACGTGCTCTACCACTTCACTTCCTATTTTTAAACTAGGCGTCGATGTAGTCCAGTCCTGTAACATCATCTTGCATTTGGCGGGAGCGAATCGCATGCCAAACATTCGTAGATTGCGGCTCAATGTGTTTAGAAGACTCTGCATTTCGTCAGCGTCTTCGCCTAGAAGAACTATATCGTCTGCATATTCCAAGTCAACGAGATTATTCCCCGGTAGCAAGTCAATCCCTGAGTCTCTGAAGTGAGTAGGGGTTTAGTCCATTAGTACATCTATGATGAAATTGAATAGAAATGGGGATAATGGGCATCCCTGACGGACACCACTAGTCGTCACGACTTCAGATGAAAACTCTCCATAAGCCCTCACCTGGCTGTATGAGTACGGGTAGAGTGCCTTAATCAGTGCAATATATTTTCTCGGGATTCCCTTTACAGCCAAGCATTCATCATGGTGTACCCTTGAATTGATGCTAAATGACTGGAGGCAATCCACAAGTAGCCTTCATCTTACTTTCCAACATCAATGGTGTGTTAATCAGTTACAGATTTAAAGCTCACACTGTGTGAAATGATTTTTATAACATAAGGGCATTATTAGCCATTTACTTCGTAGTGAATTTAAACACTTAGGTATTAAAATAAAAGGCCAATGCTTTAATAGTAGTATTTAGAAAGCACATGGAGAGCATTGCATTTCAGTCACTTACCCTCATATCTGCTTCACGTATTTTATGAATACAATTTGTAACATTATCAGTTGATTCAAAATGGAATGTATACTGAGTTGCACCAGCTGATTTCATATTTTCAATCCACTTTGATTACATACAAAAAATGGAAAGAAAATTATCAATTAACTTTTTGTAAAACAATACATATCACTTTCCATTCAACATTCTAAATGAATTATGTAGGCGAATCCATGGAACTGAATAGTTGGGCAAGAAAACCTTCAATATAATAATGTTATCTTCTTCATACAAACTTTTGTTAGCATGCGCCAGAAATCAGTTGGTTAGAACATATTTTTATTCATTATTTTGTTGTTTGAGGGCTGGACTGAGGTGGGACAGGATCTGGACCCGAGGGCCCAAATGACTGGCGAATGAGTATTTAAGCCAGTGAGTGATGTATTCAGAAAATTAAGAAAGTTTAGTTGTGAGATTAAATTTATCTTTGTGTTCGCTAGCCGTAATTTTATTGGTTTGAAGTTAGTTCATGGATTGATATCAGTTAGGGAAGCACAGGTAATCAAGAGAATACTGTGAAACGGTTTTATCCTAGTGGTACGCAGCAAAATTTTCATTTATTTATTTTTATTTTTGACTACAGCTTGATTCCACACTGTATTTTTGGTACAAGTATGGAATTTTCAGCGTGGGTATCGGTAGCCCAAATTTCGCAGACCAACCACAGATATCAGGTGTGCGTCGGCAGGGGGTCGAACCTCGGACCATGTGCATGGTCGGCGAGAGTTCTAACTACTGTGCCACCGACCCCACCAAGTGCTAGACCTACGACTCCTAATTATCATGTTTATTATTATTCAACGTTTTAAAATGTAAACTGTTTGAAAGGTCATTCTATGTGCACATGACACTCTAGAAAATATCGATCAGTAACGAAAGATATTTTCCAATATGAATTGGATTTTTCATTTTTGTGTTTCTGGGGCATTTCAATAGTAGTATTGCGAAGTCAGTGAGGGGGGGGGCTCAATCAATTACAAAACAATGGTTAATTTGATTGTAAGGTGATAATATTCACACACAAAATGATTTTAGTAAGACTGTGCATAGTTACTGTAAATATTTTACATGTGAAATAAGGAAACTACATTTACAATGAACAGTAGACCTTTACATATAACTTTAAGTTTGTAGTTTTTACAACTGTTTTTACCAACAGATAAATGTCATACGAACTGCTGTAATACACGGTTGCTTAACTGTCTTCGCCTGTCGATCCTAATAAAACATAAGTTCATGTACTGTGAATTCATTATATCTGTCCTGATCTCCACTAATCAAGTTAGTTGAATCACTGAACTTCAGTAAAAATCCATAACTTCACTAAGAAACCTCTTAAGACAGATAAATCCTGACACTGTGAATTTGTGACTTAGCATCACTGAGCAAATTCAAAGTAGTTATTCGATATATATAGAGATGTACATAGATAACGTAAATCAAGCAAAAAAACACTGAATAATATCGACGAAAGAATGCCTAGTAAAAACACCTAGTGTTTCGATTTCGGCTTAGAGAAAAGAAAGCCCATAGTGAAAAACAAAGTGATTTCTGAGTGTGAAGATTACTAAACATCTAAAAAATGACTGTCATATCCCGTGGTTCTTAGCTTAGTGAAAAAATAGCATTTTCAGACCACTTAACAACTTTGATTGTAAATACGAATTGAATTCATACTCACAACAAAAACATTTGAAAATTTATTAAAATAAATACCTTTTCTGGATTCGATACCATCATATGCAAATCAAGGAATGTTTGAGGTGGAAGATGTGGTTTTAAAGAAGCTACAACGGGATGTCCGATTGTAATATTAGGTACAAAGTGCCCGTCCATCACATCAAGGTGCAAGTAGTCAGCACCAGAATTGAGTAGATTTTCACAGACATCAGCTAGTTTGGACAAGTCTGCATTTAAAATTGATGGTCCAATAAGTAAAGGTTTAGAGCAAGTGTGAGTCATCTAAGCTGAGTGAAGGAAACAAAAGAAAAACAGAGCACACCATAATAATATTTAACTGCAGAATAAGATTTTCCAAGTGTCTAAATTCTACCTGAGTGCTTACAGCAAGAGTCAAGGCTACAGAGAGGCCTAGTAACAATCTAGCGTTACGTCATCTTTGTATTGCACACTGAGCATCCAATATTCAATATCATCCAATATCCAATATCCTGATTACGAGCTAGTATAAGCCAGTGTTTTCTTTGAGCTCGCTTCTTGATTGTGAGGTAGAGGTTCCAGATCTTCGGCGAGCTTCTGCGTAGCAAGTCCCGCCACTCGACTGCTTTAGCTCTGGTAGACTCGAAAATAGATATAGGCAGTTTTTTATTGGCTGTTGGCTAGCTGGCTTTTTATTGGTCTAAAATATAAATTAAAGCGCCAATCTCTTTATTTTTACACGGAAATTTACAGTCAGTAAAATTTCGGGCTTACCTTACCATAATATAATGGCGTGTTAATTTTTTTGGTGTGAGTGTAGTGTGATAGTCACACGCTATTTGGATGCATTGTTGATGTTTAAAGTATATTGAGATGTATGAGAATGTCCAGAAAGTGAATATAAATCAACAATAATTTTGATGCATTTATTTTAAGTCCAAAATAGGATGTATGCCATTTTGGTTACTAGGCGAATATAATTCAACCACCATTTCTATAAATTTAATGTGTCCTGAATTATTACATGTAGAAATATGTATGTAGTAACTAATCTACTTTTTTAAGTTGTCACTTCAATGATTTGTGGGAATTGTGCGTACTACGTCAGCATAAATGAAGTAAATTGACAAGGTCATGGCCAGTGGTATATAAGCACTGAAATGTATACTAGTGTTTATTTACTTGAAGTCATAGTGTTGTGCACGTTAGGAATTGTTAAAACGATTAAATGATGTTGCAAAGTACTCCTACTGCGTCTACTTCAAGAAATATATCATCTTTATTGTGTGATGTAACAGCTATATTCCAAAGGATAATGTTGTGTTGTATATTTTATACATGGACACAATTTAAGGAAGCTTTAGACACATTTATGAAGGTACTAACTAAGTTGTTCTTTATTTCTTTGAAAGGAATCCAATACATCCTATCGTGTTGATTCAAGTAAAAAAGATCGACCCGGTGCTGATGACTACAAGTTTGTTAAGTTTAAATGCACTTTTGGAAGTCATCGTGCTCCCCGAGGTGCTGGCTTTAGGAACAGAGGGTAAGTTGGCTGCGTGTGCAAATTTTAAAAATTTTAAGGTTCAAAAGTACATCATGTCAGTCAATAATTCTAGTCCAGCGGAAATCCAACGTATACATGATAACCAAGTACAAAACTGTGCATAACCATCCCTGCACAGCAAGTTTTATGTCCACCGATGTATCTAGACGTCGGTTATCATCACAAGAAATGGCAATTATCCAACCGTTCATTGAAAGGAATACTGATGTCCATGAAATCATGGATCTAGCACATGAGAAGTTCGGAAAAGCGCTCCTGTATAACGATATTAAAAACATGCGGGCTAAGATAAATAAACGTAAGTCCTATCAAAATAAATGGTGCAGTAGAATAGAAATTGGTTGTTTGGAAGAGCTGCTTCATCGACTGAGGCAGACAGGTCCAGTTAAAGTTTTGCAGGACAACGCAGGCTTTGTATCTAAAATCATTTTTGCTCGTAATGATATGATAGACGTGTATCATAAGTTTCCAGAAGTAGTTGGAATCGATTGTACTTACAAAACGAATAAGATGGGGTAAGTTTCAGTACAACAAGGTATAATTCCTTTTCCAAATTTGTTACAGATGGCCTTTATATCAGTTTGTTGTGACTGATGGATTCGGAAGAGGAAGGACTGTTTTGTTTGCTCTTACTAGGAGAGAAACGTTTGCAGATATCAAGGAGATATTGCAAACGTTTAAGAGATTTATGGTGGATACATCGAAAACATTAACATTCACTGTCGACTGTGCAACTGCACAGATGAAAGCCCTAAAGGAGGAATTCCCTAGTTGCAATATTGTTTTGTGTCTTTTCCATGTATGCCAGGCATTCAGAAGGAAGGTAAGTTACATTCCCATTAACTGACATAGGGAAAACAGTTCCCAAACCAGCTTGTTAAAAAGTGGTTGTATCGAATGGCGCACACGCGCAGTTATGACAGGTAGGTTAGCAAATCAGAGTATATTGCCAAAGGTTTTGGCGTTACCTAAACCTCATAAGTATTGTAGACGCTGAGGCTGGTGCTTACATTAGAAGGTACTGGCTAAGAACACGCAAATATTGGGCTGCATCGTGCAACAGGTTCACCATCAGCATGGGGAACAATACTAACAACAGAGTTGAGAATGCTCATAGGCAGTTGAAAAGATATCTACGTAAAGGTGATCCTATGGAACTGACGCTATGGAAAATATGGAGGTGGATCGACCACACAACCATGCGTAAAATACGTCAGGGCCAGTGGATGCTTGCTAAATACTACAATTACGATGTAAGTTCGAAGATAATTTACGATTTATCCTAGGTACCTAATTCCCTGAAGTCTCATTTACGGAGTCTCACACCGTTTGCTGCCCAGAAAGTTGTGTTAGATTTACAAAGGCGTTCTTTCTTCTTCCATTCAATATCTTCTACCTCAGTTGTTTACGCAGAAGGTGGTCACATATTCTTCGTAAACAGGAACGAGGCGAAATGCACATGTTGGACATACTGCGCATACAATTTGCCTTGTGCACATGTCGTTGAGGCGTTCTTGAACTCATATCTAAATTGTGGTATGTTCCATTTCTTTAAATGTTACTCTTAGATATTCTGAGGAATAGTGAGAGGTGGACACGTGTATATAACACAACGGACAACATTCCGAGGGCCATCCGGTTAATACCGGAACCAAACAACGCGTTTCGAAATGCTTATGAACGCTTAAGATGTCGTCTCAACAGTCTGAACCGAAGAAATCCGGATGCTGCACTGCGGGAAATAGCGGAGTTTACCAGAAGGTTGGACAGTTTGCTAGCAAATGAACCGCAAACAACTTTAAGATTACGACGTGCCCCTGTTAATCGATTATTTTTGTGAAAATATTTGTATTACCTTTTTATTTCCATTTGTATTCAGAATATAAACATGTATGTATAAACTGCAGTTACACTTCCTTTCCTTTCAAAAGGCTAAGACCGACAGTTTAAAGAATACTTTGGTTGATTGTTTCGTTAAGAGAGCGCTTTGAAAGTCACTTAGAAATTAAAACGATCTGTGCCTTATTTACTACGTTTTTCAGCCGAGCATTTGCGGTTCATAGCATATCATGAATAACGGTGATTAATACGATTTATCACTTAGACCGCAACACCACCAAGCCTACTATATTCATAAACTTATTCTAACCTATTCATCGATAAGGCCTTTTTATGGTAAATGAAGCTCTTATTTACCCACCATTTTCTCAAATAACGCTGGTCATGCTTACAATGATACCTAGGTGCTGAATTGAGTCTTTTAGTTCTGAAATAACGCTAGTTCGAAACTAATTTGTCCTGTGAGGGATGGAACAGAGCGGATAAGCAAACCCAGTCGGTTCCATTTACTTTCAATCATGATAAGAAACCAGCTCTTAGTTTTAATCTCAAACAATAGCAGAACGGTTAGGCAGTTTACTTATTGAATAAGGTTACTATATTATAAAAGTTTACCTTATTTGGCTGAATCATTAAAGGTTCAGCATAACCCTTGACTACCAACATAAAAACTGCGAACTTTAGGCTAAAAATCACCTTAATAGTAGTATCCAGTGACATAAACTGATCTACACACTGCAAAATGGGAAAAACATGCAAAAAAACCTTTAAAATTCAATGGAAATCGAATTCACGAAAACATATAACCAGCCGACGCAGGAACTCATCATGACCTTGAAACTGACTGTAGCCTCTTTCGGTAGACTCCAAGAGGAGTGGTGCGGGATTGGTCAAGATGTGGTTTGTAGTATGCAGTATGTTAGGACTGTATTGCTGCCGTGAATGGAGTTTGACCTAACTCCCTTTGGTCATTCGGTGTGGTCATAAAAGCAGAATAGTAATAATAATAATAGTAATAGGTTGTAGTGTAGATAACATGGGTTGAGATAAGTGGAATAATAAAGGTGACCTACGGAAAAGATAGAGCGAGAGAAGGCAGAACAGGTCGTAGGGATTTAGTTTTTACGCTTATCCACTGACAGTGTGGTTTCAAGTTTTATGAGGATAAGCCATTGAGACACAAACCTTGCATTTCTACAGGGTTGTCTAGCTTCCGCTTAAAAATCCCCAGAGATGGCGCTGTAGTCACGGTCGCCAGTAAGGCGTTCCAGAGACGGCAAACACGAAGCGAAAAGAAATGTGATCGCACTCGAGTCTTTGGTCTCTGGTGTGCTATTCTTAGCGGGTTACCTCGTGGAAGCCTATGATCACTTAATGGCAGGATGCTTTTATTTGGGTGGGCCCGGTCATTTAAGATCTGGTAGACGGTGATGAGATCTCCCCTGTGCCTACGGTAACTAAGTGTGAAAAGACCTAATTTCTTTAGTCGTTCCTCAAATGATTTGTTGCGGAGGCCGATCACCCATGTTGTCACTCGTCTCTAGACACTTTCTAGAATATTAGCATCCCTTTTGAGTAGCGGAGGAGCAGTGATATTATGCACCTCAAGGTGTGGCCTCACATATGTCTTATATAACCTTAAGAACAGTTCGGGAGTGAGAGATCCCAGCTGCCGGAATGAAGTTGCACTACTTTGCACATCTTTAGGTTGAAAGGCATTCCGTTAGCCAGAGCCCAGTTTCCCAGAGTTTGCAGGTCAGCCTGCAATCTATCTGAGTCTTCCGATGAGTTTATTGCTCTCCAAATCTTTACGTCGTCAGCGCAAAGAAGCGCAGAGCAGTTTAGTCGGGAGGGCAGGTCGTTGATAAAAATCAAAAACATCAACGGCCCTAGGATAGAACCCTGATAAACCAGTGAAGCCGAAGTGTGCCAGGATGATCGGATGCGGTTGACTTTGGTGCAGAATTCTCTCTCGCCTAAGTAATCTTTCAGCCATGCGAGAAGTGCTCCAGAAACACCTGCCTTGCTTATTTTGTGAAGGAGCAGACCATGGTGAACTGTGTCGAATGCTT